GGTCAATAGTACAAATCTACGCTAATGCTTTAGATATGACGCTGGCATCATCAAGGAAGCTACAGCCTCGATGGTCGGCACCAAGATGTATCACGTCCAAAGTAGGAAACTCTTACACAGTCAGCACGCTGGAAGGGTTCCCTATCAATGGGCTAGTCCACGCAAGAAGACTACGTCTATTCATCCCACGTGACGGCACAGCACTCGCATCGCTCCAAGAGACGCTGACAGAGAGCATCGTCGAGGACGACTTGCCTAGCACATGGGAACAAGGGTTGGACACAGACGCAGAAGAAGTAGGGACGGAGAGCGAGAGCGAACATGGCGCAGAAGACGACATTGATCAGTAGTAGAGCAGAGTTACGCCCCCGGAGGTGCGCTTCTAGAGGGGGGGTACATGCAACGGGGGTTGCCGGTGGGACGTGAGCATAGGACAGGAGATGCAGGCAGAGGGGTGCCAGGGGTCTTGGGGGTTCTCGGAGTCTCAGTGCACATAGACATGTAGCACACACGTTGTACCGACATCATCCATTCATCCATAGCCGCTGTTGCAGTAGCAGCAGCCTTCCTCGTCTCCCGTCCTCTCCTGAGCACTAGGTAGAGCCGGGTCCAACACCCCTCTTCCAGAAGAAAGATAAGCGAGTCGCTGACCGCTCCTCGACGAAGAAGAAACTCCGTAAAGAGTCTAAACTAGCACCGGCACCGGCTGCCATGCCCTATTCCCAGATTGTGGAAATCCCCGAAGAAGGACCCACACCCCAGACTGCCGCAACCTCTCAGCTGCAGCAGACCGTACCACAGCCCGAAGAAGCTGTGAGAAACCAAGCCGCCAAGACTTCTACGTCTTTGGCGCCCCCACCAGTCCCGAGGAATCCCTTCCCGACTCTTAATGAAAAGAAGAGGCCCTCAAGTGCCTTCGAACCAAGTATGAAATTCTCGGCAGAACCTGCATCTGTCCTTGGCAAAGGACACGCTATCGCTACCGCAGAGCCACCCCCTGCCAAGCACCCAAGACTGGCCCCTGAACCAGAGAAAACTCAGACGAAGTTTATGTTTTCCGGAGAGCCAATATCCGTTCTCGGAAAAGGAAGAGCTGTCTTCACGGCTGATCGACCAGCAGCCAAGAAACTGCGGTTCGATAACAAAGAACCCGTCCCCCTCTGTCACCAGGACATGCCTATGTCCGACAGCGAAGACGATGAACCGGGCCATGCTGTAAGCCCCACGACACCCCCAGTCGCCGACGTACAAATGTCGTCGGTTGAACCCGACCAGAACCCAGTCGAAAACTATTTCGATATGGTAATCCAGCGCTTGAATGCGCGTCCTCTGACGCCCCCCGCGCTTCCCGAACCAGCCTTATCGGCTGATGAGGATTCTGATGAATCTGACTCTGATTCTGATGAAGAAGACAACCACGGATCCTCATATATTCGGACAATCGGCGATTTCATTATCGCCTCTCCTTCTGATGACCCTGACTGCGGAGAGCTCGAATTGGACTTTTAATTTCGTTAATTGTGGTAGATCAACGTCCTAGTGACGGGGTAAATTCATCATTGCTTTTACCTTTTCCACACCTTTTTTCTATCTAATAGGTCTCTACCCCTTTTGACTTCGCCGACACGTCCACTATGACGCTAAACTAGACCCAAGTCCACTATGACTATAAACTAGGCCTGAGTCCGGCACGACTATAAACTGCGCGATTGTCCGGAAAGACATTAAACTAAGACTGTCCGTAACTGACATTAAACTACACCTTCCTCGCTGGACGACCCCGGACACCCTCCGGCCCCCTATGCCTGGATACCCCCCCTGTCCACTACCTCGAGTATAACAACAAAAGGTTATGACACCGTACGTCCGGAACGACGCTTAAACTAGACCCCCCTTCAACAATCTGCGTTAGACCTTTAACAAAAGATCCAGAAGACGACGAAAGACGAGGGAATCCCCAGAGAAACTCCTGCAAGCCTTTCGGCCCTTACCTTTCCCCTGATCGTCCGGAATGACGCTTAAACTATCACGAGACGAACCTTTCGGAAACTCCTGCAAGCCCGCAAGATCCTCTAGATCCGCTGACCGTAGACTTTATCAACAAAAGATAACGGAACGCGCCCTCCCATCATGGCAATGATTAACACCCTCTGATGATAGATTAGAACATGAGGAGCAACACGCCCTCGCTGATTGAACTTTGATAGAGTTTAACGAAAGATAAGTCTGACTCAAGCGGAGCTTGGAACGACCTGGAGAAACACATAAGACACTCTCCCTATGGCCATATATTCCTCAGAACCTCCCATCATCATGACGACTCCTACCGAAACTCCTACCATTGTCACTCTGAAGGACTCCGACTATGGACGAATCCTCAGAACGATTGAGAATTGTGCGTTCAGCGAAACCGCCATTCTGACCCCCGCGTACTCCCAAGAGATCAACAACATCCTCGGTGAGATGAGCACAACCGTTGCATCTGGCACCTCCCTCGCCGTGCACATCATAAAAGCCACGAAGTTGCTAGAAGAAGCCGCACCTTGTACAGACCTAGACGAAGCTACTCGGACACTCGCCGTGCTCCACCTTCAGAAAAGAATTCGCACAATGGCGCTTCACCTCCTACCGCTCAACTTCCCTGACCTCGTGAACCTCGCGGTTAGGACGGCTATGTCAAAGCCACACGCCGAAGAAGAAACTAGACCCGTGCGCCCGCTACCTAAGAAAAGAGCGGCCACGATGGATAGAACCCACATGCTTTGTAAACGCTGCGGAGGATACGGGCACACTTTTAGACAGTGTCCTGATTACGTCTGCTGCATTTGCAGCAAGATTGGACCAGATCATCTATCGATCCACTGCCCTGAACTCAAGGGACGCTTAGTGCTCCAAGAGTTTTCAGATGAGGAGAAATTCTTCGAAGCTCTCTTAGACTGGGAGCAGAACCATAAAGCACTCGCCGACCTCGCACTCGCCTTCCCCATTCCACCTTCCCCTATGCCTGTGACGCCGATACCCATGACGCCTGTGCCAGCACCTCCCTCGACACCTGCACCATCCTCCCAGACATTGGATGAAGTATTAATTGAAGTCGGTGACTTCAACCTTAGTAACAGGGTAATGTTACAGGCATCCATAACACCTACAGGAGCCCCAGCTCTGCCTACGCCTGCCCCCGCTCTGCTAGACTCCCCGCGCCTAGAAAGACAGTGGTCTGGACTGCTATGACCCCCTGGCGCTATGACCCCGCCCCTGGCCTAGATGGCCTTGTACCTGATCCATGGAGGCTGTACGCCTCATGGTCACCCTAGATCAAGCGCATGTATACAGCATGTCGCTTCATGAAGATCTGGAGCGCTCTTGGCGCTTCCTGTACCTATGCGCAGTCGCACTTGGCGCTGCATGCTTGATCAGAGGTTAAGCCTCATGTACTTATCTGAACCTCATGTCTTGTTATCATAGATCCTAGATATACTATAGATTACAGACTGAGCTTGAACACTTGTAGTTAGACCCTATAAGTAGACAGATTATTGTACTTAGACTTTACTTTAATCTACTAGGTTCATCCCAGAACTTGTTCAACTAAGCCTTACCAGTTTCCTTGTATAAGACCGCACTTCTAAGTCGCCCCCTTAGGACTTAGCACGTATCCACTAGCCCTGTATCTCGACGAGCGCCGTCTTACCGAGATCACCGGAGGAACCCTTGACATTCCGTCAAGCCGAGAACCACCCTCAGCTTCAGTAGACTCACTCGAGTCATCGCTGAGAAGACCTATCCTAGTTCGCACATGCCGACCGACGGTCCCGCGTAACACTAAGAGGTACTTTGACCATGTCGCTCCCACTGAACACCAAAATCATCAGTGAGGCGCTGGAAGCGTAAGAGCCATGTCTCGTGCTATGTCCCTCAGTTTCCTCACCACTCCTACCAGTTCTCAAACTGTTGTGGGTTATGATATACACATACAATGATTTAGGCTGAGGAGACAGGCTGTTGGCATCCTTGGCTTCACAATTCTGGTGTGAGATCATGCAATCACTTTTGCAGACAAGGTCTGTCTTTATTATTTATCTGGCCCATTGGCTAACCTACCACAGGTGGAGATGATATGGGGTTGTCTGAAGAACCTCTGTGAGCTCACCCATAGATTATTTTCTTGGTGGTGACATCAATTTTCAGTGACATTCTTATTCTTGCTCATACGTTGGTGGGCTGATAATGATGTTTCCTGCCTTAATTTGATGTAGAATTGGTACCTCACACCTATCGGTTTCATCATGAACCTTGTTGGTAAGTTCTAGATACCTGTTGTGCTGATGAGTGACACTTTAATTATTATGAAGCATATAGCCTGCCTTCTTGGTTGTTCATAGTTAGTATACTTTCTGTTTTTTTATAAAGATAACCTAACGAGCAATGCAGAAGTAAGACATCTAATTCTCAACTTCAGTGTGTTGTGACAGGTGCATAGATGCGAGCATTGTGTTCGGTATGAGGGGGCCATGACTGCAGTTGGGATTCAAGTTGTGGGACTAATGATGTTCCTGCGGTGAGCTCTCAATCGAAATGTACTAGTTATCACCATGCACAATCCCTAAATCCTATCCATCAGTGTTCGAGCTATGTACCATGACAACAGATGTGTTGTGATCCTTGTAGCATCATTATTGTTTGTTTGGGTTGCAGTTGGCGCTTGGCTGTTGTCTCATGGCGTAGGTGAGTACCAAAGTCGTTTGACGTGCGATTTGGGTCCACCTAATCTGTTGATCAGCTGTCCCTCACTCCTCTTTTATACATTGTGAACCCATCTATCTAGATGCTTGTTATCTCATCTACTCACGGTTTTCACACAGCTTGTTGCATGAAATTCTCTAATGTGTATGTTATCCATACTTTAGTTCAGTTAGTGGAGTACTGAAAGTGAACTCAGAAAGGGTCTTGCATCTGCATGGGCATGGGTCCCTCTCCTCTATGACACAGTCGTCTTTGCCTTAACTTTGAACCAAACATTGCCCTTGATGAAAATAAGGAGGCAGGGCATATCATCCACACACTGTTTGCAGATGGAGTTATATTTTACAGGTACGCTCCTGGATTGAACAATTGCACACTTTTATATGATTTAATTTAACAGTGTAATGTGTACCATAAACCCTATCTTTATCATCATGGTTGTGAGGGCTCCAGAAGGCTTGAAGAACATTACTGGACAGTACATTTTCTATGTGTTGAGTGGCATAGCTACCTGACATGCTCTAAAACTGAAATTCTTTTCAGACTTGAACTTATGTGAGTATGGTCGATTGGTAATCCAGGAGCTGATTTTCCAACATCAATGGATAAATTTTGCAGATTAACGGTGAGTCCAATTTATGCAGATCATGAATTTCCTGCTTCATCTTATTCTCAACCACGTTCCTTTACAAGGTCGTAATGATGTCATGCATCACACTCAGCTTAAAGAAGGAGGGCACACGTGATTCTGTACCACTCGACACACATTTTGGAAGCAAATTCCCACTCTGCTTTGATTGCCAAAGGCCTGTCAAAGATATCATGAACCCGCAACCACCAGCTCCTAGCTCCCAGACTTCTCCAATGACAACAGAATTGTTCGAAATGCAAAGTCATGCAGGAGCTTTTGACGGTGATATATTCTCTCAAGGACAGCAAGATGGTGATGTTCACATCTGCTTCGCCTTCCCTGCAGTGACTAATGCATTTGACCTTGTGAACAATGAATGCAGCAGGTGCCAGGAGGCAATGGTTTGAATAAGACCATCATACAGACTGCTGTATGACATAGACATGCAAAGTATGTTATTCAAATGGACAATAATACATTCATTAACCTCAGGTGTTCAAACAGACACTAGATGTTGTACTACCACCGACACTTTACAGTTAATTAGCAAATAATACGATCGAGATTCTCAAATTCTCCTTCGTTCGACAGCAAGTTATCATTTACAGTATACACAGTACTCATACCATTACATCACTAGTAATCTAAGTAGTATCCAAGGAGAGTAATTAGTATTATTCATGCACAGCCACCAGTGCCACCCATGCATTGTGATTATTACCATGACACGTTGTAGCACTTGAGCTCGCACTGAGCATGTATTCAGCTATTTTCCCATGCATGTCAAACACATGAATCACTTCCAATGTTATCCGACACTCATCTGCTCAATCCAATGTTTATCCGCTAAACCCGACGCTAATCTGATGGACCCGACGTTTCCCGCGCATCAGACCCAATATTTTCCCGCGCACTTGCCCTCCCTATGTCTTGTCCTGTCGTATCTATCCCCACTAGGTGCGCAGTTATTCATTTTCACGTCGCTAACATTGTAGAACGCGTTATTACATGTCTGCAGTACATCGTGTCTTATTACATAGGACATCGGACCCGAAAATCAGCGCTACTACATTCGCCTATAGCACTCCGAATTTCTACATAGACACTATATATTTTGCATACCTCCTACCTATTTACTTTACCTTTCTACCTCCAAGTAGGAGGAGGTCATCCAATATTTGTAGTTCTTAGTTGGATTCCGCAATATCATCCATTCTTTATCCAAAACATCTGACAGTAACCCGCTGTTCGCTATCCCCGACATTCGCTATATTCCCGACGCAAGCCTGACGCTAACCCAACGCAACCCGAGGAAAACCCGCTAACCCAAAACCCGAAAACATCGGACCCGACATTTTTGACATTGGACTCGTAATTATACCTTCGGACTTTGTTTCCCATGCTTCGGACTATCTTCCTTTTGATATAACTGATTATTCTAAAACCATACAGCAAACCCCTCGGGTCGAACGCACTTGTCTTGCAAGTATAGCAGACTAGGCTGTGCACGACCACAACATTTTTATATTGCTGGCTACTTACTTCGTGTAGTGCCCAGCAATTGTTGTATCTCTACAGCGTCAATCGACTCAAGTCATTCCCCTTCGCAAATGTTTGCGATGAGTTCTCAATGACGTTTTACCCAGCTTGATGAACCATTATGTCCCCCTTAAATTGGAACTGGGATCTCGAATGTATTGCACTTGTATGACTCGGCCGCACATTCAGCGCACGGCAAGTCTCTGGCACTTAGTAAGGACTTGTAATATGTGTCTTTCTCTTTGGAGAAGCTCATGACCTCCGCAGACGCTTATCTTAGAAGTAGATTACCCCTTGACGCAAAGTCTCTATCATGGGGTCAGACATCCATATAAGACACCAGTGGCCAATCAGAGATCGCAACTGCAGGGTCTCACGGACCCATCTCGTCTTGTCTGTTACACTTTTTGTCAAGAATGGATGCTGTGACCACACAATCTGTGACCCTAGATTCACTCCATGCGTAAGTGCCTATGTTGTTGTTTTGTATCGCATGCCTTGATGAATTATCTCTCGGCGTTACTATTGCTAGTCAACAGGCGGTCACTGTACATCTTATTCAGATCAATCACCCTCTCGCCATCTGATGTGTTATTGTATCTCAAGTTTGTGGCTATTGTGAGTTTCACAATTCTGTGCTGGGATCATATGATCACCTTTGTGGACGAGGTACGTTTCATGACTATTTTATATCAAAAACAGGTCTGAAGTATTTTCCAGGTAGACTTGATCTGGTGTAAACACAAAGGACTTGGTAAGTATAGGCTACCCTCTGATATATTTATCCACATAATTCACTCCAAATTCATTCTAGCTGGGTATCTCTTTCTGCTGGTATGTGAAACCACATTTGACTCATTCCTGGAATTACATTTTCTTTCAAAACCAAGAATCGATATATCACACCTCTGGGATTTGTTGTCAACATTATTGATGAGGTCTGTCCTTTCGTCGTAGATTATATTTTATTGAAATTTATAGTCAGTGCTGACCCTCCCCAATTGGCCCACAAAGGTAGGTGACTGCTTTGTCCATCAAGTGTCTCCAAATCTAATTGTCTATATCATCTTAGAGGTTTGTGGCTTCCGATCTAAAGATGACTGGCATCAAACTGCTGTTAAGTTGCAGAAATTTCGTCAGATATCAAGGTGCCATGGTGATCCTTGGTGTCAGTATAGCAGAATTGATAATGCTGATGCGGTGAGTTCAGTTCAAGTGCGATGATAAGGTACCTCTTACGATTTTTGTAGGGTCCATGCTTTGTATCGGGAATGCAGGCTTGTCATTGCGGCCATAGGCCTTCTCTTATTAGTCCAGGTTGCATTTGAGGCATATTTGATGGCTCTTGGCAAAAGTGAGCATACCTTTTACTTGTGCAGATAACAGTGATATCATACGTTTCTAGTGGTTCCTCATGCTCAACAAATACATTGCGAGTACTGTTACCCGATGTGGTGGCTTGTTACTGACTTCTCTATTAGCCTGTCATGAGGTTTATGATTTGCCGCTGTATGATAGTTTTTAAAAAAAAATTACTCACCATACAGCAATGTCAGGGCTCTCTCTGTTACTCAGGCATGGTTGCCTTTGGCATATGACACTGCCATTTTTGTCATGACCCTATGGCGCACCTTGCCCAAGCATCGGAGTGGAATTAGTCCTATTGATCCTATGTTGCCAACATTCCAATCCAATGGTGCATTGTACTACATGTGGGTGCTTTTCTCAATTCAAGCCAACTGCCTAATCTGTTGATCGAGTAGTATCATCTGTTCTGCTAACCTAGTACTGACTGTGATGATAATACAAGTGCCCCCAGGCCTGAAGGGCATTGCTGCTCAGTAAGTCTATTAGCACTGTCTGTGACTAGTACATGTTAAGACCGTGCACAAAGGGCAGGACTGATTCCGAAGGGCTTGGCTTCAGCTCGTGCGCTGTGCCCCTTACCCGAGTATGTGCCCTTAATTCATCAGGAAACTGGCGAGAAGAAGGTTTTCATAGATACTATTGACAGAATCAGATCAAAAATACACAAATATTTATATTTATATTCTAAGACAAAGTGATACATAAGTAGGAGCAACATGACTTTGAATGAGAAGGAATTACAAGAAGACTATAAGTCTGAGGCTCGTATGTAAGATGCCACAAGTGTGACCTATGATAGATAAATGTTGATAGACCATTGCTAGAGTGTGACTTTGTGATACTCGAAGATACTTGTTTGCAATGGAATTGCAATGTTATGTAATATTAATGCTTACTAAGGTGTGTACATCGTGGGAGCTGGGGGTTTGAAATTTTTCGTGAAGTCCTTGTGAGCTCTGCCCGCCTCTACTCTTTCTGTTCCGTTCTTCATGTGCTCCCTCTCCTTGGTGGGCCCTCCTCCCTGGCCTTCTTTGATGGACCCTTCTCCCTGGCTCCTTCATGCACCCTCCTCCCTGGCCTTCTTTAGGACCCTCCTCCTTGGCCTTCTTTGGTGGACCCTCTCTGGCCATTGGTGGACCTCTTCTCTGGCCGTTGATGGACCCTCCTCCTGCTCCGTTCGGACTCTCCTCCCTGGCCTCCTTCATGGACCTCTCCTCCCTGGCTCTTTGGTGATCCCCTCCAACTATTACTTTGTTTCTTGTTTCATAGTCTACTGTATACTACTATGTAGCACATTTGTACATTTGTCAATAAAATTGGTTTTTGAAAATAAATTATCACAATCATCTACAGTATTCAGCACCTTTGAGTCTTTGAGTTTGTCCTAAGCACTCTAGGCTTGTAAAGCTTTATGGATATCTGTCAACTTGATAGGTAATTGCAAACTGACTGTCAAGATTGTACTGTTGGTAGTTTCCTATCCGACTTAGTCAGGGTATTTAAAGCTTTCTCATTTGGATTACAATTGTGATAGATATTATATGTATTTTAGAGTAGACAAAGCTTTACATGATTTTATCATTTTCAAGTCGGTCACCTGATGTTGCAGATGACATCCGGAGGAAGTCCATAGGACTTCTGAAGGAGCGTGGTGTAAGACCTATGGTCTTTGTGGCCTCGTATAGGCCTTTTTGTGTTGTCCCTCTGGTTCTAATTGCAGTATGCGCTATCCTTGGTATAGCACGCATGTCTTCCATCATCGGCCGATGGCCGTGGCTTACGCGCGCGCTTCGGTGTAGGACTTGGAGTCCTTGTAGCCTCATAGAGGCTATTTTTGTGGTATCCCTCAGCACCCTATTACTTTCCTACATGAAGCGCAGCTCTCCTGTGAGTCGCGCATAGCGGCCGCTACTTTCCCACAATGGCCGCAACATTCCCCGCACGCGCGCACAGCCGCGCTTAGTGGCCGCTTTTCTCGCGCTTCATCAGCCAACGTTCCACACCCATCCATAGTCCAAAACCAACCCAATGGTACGTTGTTTCATAATTATATTTACATATCAGACCATTTTCGCATCGGACCACCTTTATTACATATAGCTTTACATACATAGCTCGGTTAGCGCATCAGCTCGGTTCCGTGTGACAGCGCTTAGCGCAATACTTAAGCACTAGCAGTACATATCATTCAGTAGCCTGTTTTCCGGACGTTCCAGTAGCAAACTCCCATTAGCCTACAGTTGGTAGCTATTGGCAATCAGTCTCCGTTTACCGCTTGCATCGTATCCGTTATCGCCCTCGCCTCTACGTCTATTCCTATTGTCCTTCATCTCTATTATCATCTGAACCCTTCATGCATTGGCCCCTTCGCAGCCGCGTCTTTCCCATGCCTTCCGCTTTCAGCTGCCGCTACGTTCCCGTGCTACGCGCGCGCACCCGCCGCTTTCCTGCACTTCGCATTGGCCGATGAGGGCACCTTTTGTGTCCATTTCTAGACCCTTTGCTGCACTGGCTTCCCTTTAGGGTCGAACACACTTGTTCCGCAAGTAAGCAGATATGGCAGTGCCGCACGACCTACAACATAAGATAGCAGTTTGGAGCCTATAGCACCACTCTGAGTTGTAAACCTACATCGGTTCGCATCCGCTTTCGTTGGTTCCGTCGTGCGTCATTCCTCCGTCTATCCATGTCCTCTGCTGTCCATTGGTGCGATATTTTATCTCATTTGTGTTAGACTGATTATATTTCCGAAGGTGATATCATGTTTTCATTACGTTATGGACCCTTGATACGTATTACCGTTATCTTCTCGGTTCAACAGTGCACATGCGCTATCATATATACTTTAGACTTAGGAATTTTCAGTATCTTCTTTTCCCTTATCAAAAAATTATCATCTGTTGCACGCAACACTCAACTCTAAGTCTAAAAACCTTCGGCCG